GTCATATATTAGAACCAACCATGTTAGTTCTTAGAGATTAAGTTAGCTCTAGCAACTAGCTAACAATTATCAAAAAGTATATTAAAAATCTTGTACATTGGAAATATAATCGACGTAACAATGATTATTTAATTCCATGATGACGACGTATATTAGAGACATTCCTATTAGTTCGTGAAGATCAGATAAGCTCCAGCAACAAGTCTGCGGATATGTGAAACAGTTTCGTACTGCAGAGAATCTCCTCACCTCGAAATTGGACTTCTCTGGTAGTTGTCAGTAACTCCGGAATCCGTCGACTCCTCGGATATCTGCGAATCTCATTTCCAGAGAAGGTAGGAGGAGGAATAGAAGTCCTGTCCCGAGCAGCTTTCCTTTGTTCCATCCGAACTCGATAGTCTCCGGCAGTCAAATTCGGCCGACTGTAACCAGCTTAAGTTGCAGCTGGAAGAGCGAAATTTCCGCGCGGGCCGAAGAACCGTCGGCCGAGGATTTCGAAGACTAGGGGATCGGTAGCTCGTTAGCATTTACTGAGGCTGAAACCGTGGGACACGTCGAACCGTCGTCGATCGATCTCGCATTCAGACCCCGGAAGATTTCGCGTTACTTCGTAATCTCGTCCGGGGCGAAATAGATTCCGTTTCATCTCGAATAATCAATCTTGATTGGGACTTTTGATCAAAGAAAAAATCCCGGGACACGTCGGGATTCACCGGTTGGCAAAGCTAAAGACGGAATTTTATACGAAAAACGTCCGACGGGTTAAAACGTACTTGATCAATGGGACACGATTTCCTCAGGGAACTTTTCCTCGGTAGAAAAAAGCTAACAGGTATTTAAAGTTTTCAATGACTAACCATTTCCATTCACTGCAAATGGAATAATCATGAGATAATTATAGAAGAATGTGAGAGAATGCACATAAAATACAAAAATAGCATGTAGACAAATAATTAAGGCGCACGAGCTTTGCACGTTTTTTGGATCTTTTATTCTAAACGCTATACTCCAGGGATGGGGGAACATATTTTATATGAGAGGCCATACTAATTTTCTGAAACAAGGCTAGAAAGGCCGCAGTAATTGGGTAGGTGACAGTTTGTCTTTTGTAAATAATTTTCAAATAATTACTTATTAACTCATTGAGTTGAATTTATTTAACGTGTTTACGTATATGTATACATATATACCATTACAGCATTTAACAACAATTTAAATTGGAGATCATATGTGTATATGATTGCAATCTTATCTATTATCTCAATATCACATTGTATGCGTCGTAGTAAAAGATCATTCGATTAATGAAATTGTAAACTTAATTATTACTAAATGATCAGAAATCTGGAGGTTATCGAATTTTTTGTTAAACACTTGTCGAAGGATTTATGGACGGAAGTGTACAGATGTTAGGCTCGTCTCATGATTGCGGTTGCGGTTAACCGACGCAGCGGCCGAGACGGAGCGTACATAAGTGCATCGGGTATAAACCAGATCGTATATCAAAACGGTTTTACGCGTCCCGGATCTCTCGGCGATCTTGCACACCGCGAGAGCCCTTTCACCTCGTTCCGAACGAAGGTTGCTGTGCAACCTCCTCGAGGGGGTTTGATTTGTGCACCGACTTCGCGGGTTCTGCCATTCGGATATGGCTGGCTGGCCTCTCGACCCGTTCAAAGGTCTCTGCGATGCGATGCTCGCCTGTCGGCAGGGAATCCCATTCGCGGATCGACGGATCCGAAACTTAAGCCCCTTATTGAACGACGGATAAGCCGTTTCACGCCGAATCCGAATTGATTTTGCCCATTCGAGACTCACGCTTCGACTTTCGACAGACACGTCATCATACGGTCTCAAGATTTATTAACAGATAATCGACTTTTACGTGGAATATACTATTGTAAATAAATGTTTCAAATAGAAATGTAAAAAATTATAATTTTCGTATTGAGTATTCAATTGCAACGCGATAGAGCAACTTTGCGCTGGCTGATTGCTTAAATATGCACATCATTTCTGAATTAGGTTTGAGCAATTTGGATCAGAAAATGTAAGTTTCGCTGTCTAAAGAATTTCTAGATCAGAATTTTTCACCAAACCAAGACCGATTCGAAAAAGTATTTGCAATTGCAAAAAATGCAATATTCACTTCCCAGAGCTCATAAATATTAAAATTAATTTTGACACGAATTTTGATTTGATCTTACGTATGAATGATAGTGTGAGTCGAGCCTAATCGTCTCGACATCGATTATATCGCATGCACGTGCGTCGGCATTCGAGTCAGCTCATAACCGGGCCCAGAGACTGTGTCAACGAGGAGCTGCTGCGTCGCATCGCAGTCAAGTACCACGGATGAGAAAAGGCGCTCGTTTCCCGTTCGAATCTTGCAATGCTTTCGTATTTTTAACGCCGACTGATCATCTATGGACGAATTCAATGGACATTGTCCAACAATGGCCCTTAGTTGGATTTTTAAGGCCAACCGGCCATGAAGTAAGGCAACTAAAGAATGTCGAATACCTTCATTAAAATATTGAAATGTTGAAATGTAATATAAAGAAATATATACAATATTTAATATTTATAATATAATATATAACAAATAAAATTTAGATATTATTTTATTTTGGCATAAAATCTGGGTTTGGTTTGAACTTCATTTGAGGTTGTTATAAAACGTATGACCTATAAATTAATCGCTCGAGCACATTCGAAGATGTCGTAGCAAATACATAAATTAATTATGAATAGATACATTATTGAAAGCCATTATAAATAAGTTGATAATGAACGATGGAAACAACTGTGGCGATAACTACTCAGAATTGATCGAGTTTGAAATGACTTAATTGCTGGGCTGGTCGAGTTCGTAACGGAAAGTTCAATCGACGCAATAAGGGGTTGGAAATTGTTTATCGAGAGGAATCGGCATTGTTTGAGGTTACCATTCGATGGAGCAATTAGAATAGTTCGATATTTCGCTCGTTTGCGGTTTTCGGCGACCTCCTAATGAAACCCAACGACCACAGACTCAGACATATTTATATGTATATTACATGTTGATGAAACACCGAGACACGACTCTAGACTCCCGATAAAAAAAAAGCTAATTAATTCTTGATTGTGCAATTAGTAACTATATTTTTCAGAATATAGCAAAGTTTAACAAAAATGGTGCCTCAGAGAATAATAATTAATAATACAAGATATTGTGTGTAGTAGTAGTAAATAGATTTATTTTATGCCTTTCTGCCTTAAAATGGGGATTACAAGTGTTTGTGTGACAGTATATATTAAAATATTATTTTTTATTTTCTTTCTTTTTTCTAAGACTTACCGCATCCACTCCAGGCCATCTTTATCTCTGTTCAGTATTCCTCTCACTTCTTTGTTTACTCTTTACATTTATTCACATTCTCTTACCACGTGACTTAAAGTCTCTGGCTTCTTTTTACATAGTCTACAGTCTCTTTCATTCTCCTCAATCCGCTACTTATTATTCAGTTCCTTATTCCCACATCTGAATCTTGCAATCATGCTTTGATCTCTACCTTTGTATGATTTACATGAATATCCTGTCACCTGACAATTCCTAATTTCTCGTTTACAAGATATCGTACATTTTAGATACTTAATTTATCGTTATTAAAAAATGAATTAAAGAATTGATCAAATTGGCTTAATTCATTTAGGACAGACGATCTCTGGTAAAATCAGAATTGGGCCTAATATTATAGTGCACCAAACGAAACAACAGTACAATGGTATATATTGAAATGCAGTTGACGATTTGAAATAATTGCAACATTTGATTAGAGCCGGTGATAAATATTTCGCGTTACGACGTGAGAGGATGTAAATGAATAATGCACGAGAGAATCTTCTAAACGTATCCCAAGTGGATGCTTCTCAACAGTTATGACACCTTTCTAAATATAATGATACTTACACGCGTTTTCCCAAAGTGCATATTCATTATCGTTTGCATGCCGGGTTCTGCGATTAAACCTGTTTAGTATCGCAAATATTTACAGCTGGTGTTGGTAATCTTTCCTAGAATGTTTGCTACACTATCACGCACAGAATAAACTTAGCTACATGGATATCTGAATGTGCAAATAAATGGAGAATCTCTCTCTTCTTAATTTATAAATAAAAAAAATCATGTTCCATTGTAACGATAACATCCTCGAAAGAACTATAATAAAACTGAAATTAATTTCAATTAAAATTTGTATTAAAACCAGCAGTGTTTTTAATACAGATTGTTATTTAAATATTGATAATTAAAATGAAAAGTATTTTAGCATAAAATATTAATTGAATATTAATAATTGAAATGAAATAGAATTGATATTCAATTGAACAATAGGTGAATGCTAATTGCAATGGTCTGAAAATCTTCGGGAAAAAAAAAACGCTGGCACCCCTAGTCCGTTTGAACTCTCACAATTTCAAACGAACTAAAACGCTTTAGGTCTACGTGCACGCGCGAATAATACACGCACGTCACTGGGAAACAAAACGTGTCTCCGTCGACGGTTAAAACATGTTGACGAACCGCGGATTACGAGCGTTCTGTCCTTATCCGATGAATTAAGGCGAGGCGGACAATAAATGCTACCGCCGCGCAGGACAAAGATTTCTGCATGCACGCGTGCATTCACCAAGATTTTGTTTTGCTGTGGACGAATAAGCGGACAGAAGTCGCGGGATCTTCTTTTATGCCATTCAAATTCTCTTTCCATTGCTTCCGATACAGGCTGCACTATTCAGTTTGAATCTGAACATTTTTTTATTTGCGCACATTACGCTATGCTGTAGTTCTTTAATAAACGATAAAACATAAATAAGTACAGTTTTTATAATCTAGATTTTTAATCGTTTTACGTTAAACTTATTGTTAACTTATTTCCTGTTGAATCAAGATGTTAAACAAATTATTCTAATTAATTTTGTCATAAAATAATCATTTGTTTCATTTTGCTTTGTTACAGGTTGGCCGAGTTATACTACTTCTAACGCGATAATTTCACTAATTGGAACTTTCGACTTGGACCCGCCTGAGACTCCAGATTCTGTTGAAAGCATCTTGACTCTACCAAAGGTACTTTCGGTCGCACGTACATACGTGAATTATCGTAATGCGTATACGATTGCCAGTTTGCACGCAATAACCGATTTACACGAGAAACGTGCAGAGAAAGGAAGTTAGGTTTATATCTTAAATTCTACATACGTCTGTTCCAATAATAAATAATCATTATTGTTGAATAATGTATGTAAGAAATTGCAAAAAACTATAGTCTATAAAGTTTAACTTTAGATAACTACGTTCTACTATTACAAATGTAAAGTCGAGAACTGTTAGTCGAATGTTTCTACTTGTTTTGTCAGCAGTCACGTAGAAACTTTTAGTGGATGTTGTACGAAGGAGATTGAACAGTAAATTGATTATTTACGAGAGACCTTTTCAAAGATGTTTAAGTGCTATATCTGTAGACAGGGATTAGAGGAAATCACAATATGTACAGAATACAGTGCTCCTTAAGCCTCTATTTCAATTTGTAGAATCAATAAATTTGCTTAAGGTTGTTTTGGCTATATTTAATACAAGTTATACGTCTTTTAAATATCTAGTGCATTCTCTGATTCTGTAATTGTATAGCTACTCGCCTTAAGAGGAATATTGTAATTGGACTACAACGAAATAATCATTGTTGTCGATGGACTAGAATATTTTTTCTCTTTAATGTTATGTGAGGAGAATTTTTACTGTATCTCATTTTCAATTATTTCAGAACTTTTGCATGTCTGTATTTTTAATTTATTATGTACTTATAATAATATTTCTTTTACTATCTTCTAAATTCTAAGTAATAGTAGTAGTAATTCCTTTATTGTACCTCTACGACTCTCGAGACCTTCGAATCATCATTTAATTAATGCCTTCCAAATGTTAAAGAACGGTACCTTCAGCAGGGTACGGACAAACCCTTATAATCCTCTTGCCTTATTCATAAGTCCTGATAAATTCTCCGCGTAGTTAAAAAATCCTAAGAACGCATCACTACTTCGCAGATCTAACATAATTTAAATATAAATTAATTACAAGTTGACTGCGGATCTTTACGCAAAGTTACATTTTTGTAAGTTAAAAAGAAATTTAATTAATGTACAAGAATTCTTCAATCTTTAATTTTTATTATACGTGATCTAAATTAACTGTTTTGTCGATTTTCGTGGGACATGTGCATCCTCTCACATTTTGTAAAAAAATCTTATTATTAACTTATAAATCTACAGTCCATTTAAAATCGAGTTAACTTCGATTACACAAGCCAGTAGAACTTGTTTGATAAACAGTCGACGAATCAATCGGGGAACTGCGATAAGCTCGATCGAGTGATGAGTCACTTTAATGGACTCACCGAATGGATTAAACCAATGAAGTTGGCGATTGCCGTAGCGAGGATTTTTGAGCGACTTCCGGCCCGGCCGGGAAGCTCCTCGAGAACGAACATTAGTCTAACTCCTTTGCCAGCGTATATACACAGTTCGAGAACTTTGCTTTTAGCTGGAGTTCGACTCTCATTGGTCCACGTTCCGTTGCGCCGGGGAAAACTCGAAACACTTTCTTGATAAGTGGATACCATTCTGCTGAGGGAATTTATTAATCGAGAAAGACCAAAGACGAGCCGCGCGGGGTTGCTAATTTACCAGTTCCCAACGCAAATTCAATTTACTACGGAAATATTTTAGCTGTTCAACTTCGTTTCGAGATAGAGAGAACTGTGCTTGTTGGCAAATAATTATAAAATACATTAGATGTAATATAGAAACAATGCATAAATATTTGTACATAAAATATTCTATATTTTATACAGTAAAGTCTAACGATTAAGATTAACGTAATGTAGCATTTAATTGAAGAACTATGTTAGTAACGTCGATTGTACAGTGAGGCTTTGATGTATGCTATATTTGACTTGGTGAAATATTTAATATGTACATGTATGATAAGCAGTAATGGCTAGTTTATGACGTAACATATTCGTATATTTAATACAATCAACATAACATTTGTTCTATACATTGCATTTTTGCTTTTAATTAATATTGACAGAATTTTTCTGTGATATTTAATTGACCATGATTACCTCTAATAGACTTTCGATGCATACGAGGTTCTAATTAAATTTCCCATTATCAGTTTCCTCGCAATCAATTCTAATCTTGATATTTTCGTTCGTTCGCGGACCCCTCGGCTTTCTGCACTGAACAAAAGAGCTCTCCATTGGAAGGGGCAAAAGTATCACAAGACCAAGCCCGTTCGGTAATTACCCAACCGTCGTAATTAATTCACCGAGCGGTTCGTTCCACGTAACTGCAAGAATTCCGCTCCCGCCAGAACCAACCAACCATTCATAGTATTTACTTTCGCGACCTTTCACGATGAGAATCTCCTCTGCTTTTCAGCTACGAAATTGTGTCAATCACGCGAAGAGAAATATTAAAAACGTTTTCCTGAGAATGTAGCCTGAATTTTTAAAGCGCGCACTAAGGTAAATGTTCCATCTTCTTCTTTTAAATGACATATAAAATGATAGGAAAATGCGCCAGTGAGTAAAAATTCGGACGTGAACGGAAATTAGGATATTTGCCTTATCTATGTGCCCTCGCACACCCTGGTTCGCAGGAATCGTCACCAAGATACTTTTGTTTTCTCGTTTTCTTTATTCTTTTAGGCTTCGCTTACGTAAGGAGCGGTAATTCTCAATCCGCCCTGGGTTTTTACCAGGTTGCTGGCGTTGTTCGCATGTTTCCATTGTTTACCTGTGGGCAATAAAGCCCCCTTCGTGTCCAGCTCCCATGCAGTTATTGCCGGACGACCTCCAGGGATATCGGTTTCCGGCATAGAATAAAAAATATCATAAAAATCTAAAATCTATCATAAAAAGTAATCCGACGGTCCTCGTCTTCTAGAAGGTTCTAATCCTTACGGTTGCGTAGGATTCTTACCTGTTTGGGTTCACTCTTAATCTCTTAGGCACGGCTGAATTTTGCGCGGAGCTGCTTCTCGGAATTCAACACGAATTACGTGTAAATGATACGACACTGCAATGTGTGACGGATAATGCTTTTCTTTACACGAGTACATTGGAATGAAGTGTTTGATGATTAAATTATAATTTTTCTTAAATATATGATACACGCATTTTAACTTTAACAATTTATTCTAATAATTAATAATACAATTCAGTATGGTACGTCTTAAAACACGGTACAACACAAAGACCCGTGAAAGCCACCATAGTGGCGCGCCGTAATGAGAGATCCGCGAACGCCACTATAGTGGAGCGTCGTACAGGAAGATGACATCCGTGAAAGCCACTATAGTGGCACATAGTGCCTAAGAGGTTAACAAGGCTACAAACAGTTAGTCCAAGAAATTTATTCTTTTGTAAAAAAAATACGCCTCAATCTCACAGTCGTCGCAGACGTTCATAATTATTCTTTAGCTTGAATCTTCTATCTTAAATCGGAAGAGTACGGATTAATAGTTATCTCGAGCTCGAAAAAACTGGGTTGTCAGTCCCATATTATTTACCAAGCGTCTGGTTGTTTATCGGTTTCAGTCGAGATTCGTTTCCGTCGCACGGGATTTTATGGCCGTTACGTAAAGCAAAGATACTTTCCTCTCGTCCCTCGCGGAATTTCGTTCTCGTGAATAACGATACGACAAGTGCATGGGATTTCGCGGCCGGGGGGATTTATCGGTGGCTGACATCTTCGAATGGAATTTACATAACGAGCAGCGTCGAGTGATCGAAACTGTTTGGACTTTGGACGACCGTCTCACTGAATATTAATTCAATCTTTATGTCGATATCTTCACGCCTCTCATCTCTTCGAGCAGCTTCTGATAGTGCGTCCGACTTTTTAGTGCGATAATTTTCTTTGAGAATATGCAAATCGATTGCGTCTGTTTTTACGATTATTTCGTGAACGAGTACTTTTATGCATGATTTGTTGTCAGATACCTAGTTGCAATACATGATGGAAGGATTCTTCATTCAGACAAGGAACATAAATTAATCTGTTTAAAATAATTATTAAAATTATTATTAAAAGATATATAATTATTATATATAAAATTAGTTACTGAAACAGTATCTCATTCTAGTATCACCCATCGTCCTTACACTCCTCTAAAAAATTTAAGGATGTATTGGCTGTACAGTCAATCTCAAAAGTTTATGCACTTTAGAAACGCATTTTTTAAAAAGAAATCAGACGTCGAAAGAACATTACTAATAATAAAC